AAAAAAAAAAAATCCAATCAGGAAAAGAGGATGAATATGGGAAGGTTGAGGTTAGCTCAAACCTAGCAGCTCCTTATACAAGCATAAGGATGAAAATCAATTACCTCATCAGTTAGAGCCAAATTATGCGTAAAGCAATGTGTTAGTTCAAAAGTGTCTACTTTAAAGATTAACGACAGCTGCATGAAAGAAATATCTTAAGTGCAAGTGACAAAGTGGTAACGGATAACTCATCGCATAAAGGTTATGTGAAAGTTTATACTGACTGCAATTAGTATCTGACATAGTGAGGGTATAAAACATGAGAATTTGCTCCTCAGAAAAAAGAAGGAAATTAAGTGCAAGCTCTAACCTCCAGTGCTTTGTTAAGATCTTCCCGTGAGTGAGCAGCAGAAATACATATGCGTGCTCTGGCCAAAAGTAAAGGGGTTGCTGGAAAACCAACAATCACTACGGCCACCTACAATAGCGGCACATGAAGTAAATTCCAAGATAAGAACAAATGTAAATTTAAACAATAACCAGTCTGTTAAACAATGAGCCTGAAATGACAAGAAATTGTACATTCTGTTTGAGACATTCCCGTGAAAAAGCGGGTATTTTTGCAGGATTGTAGAGCATGATGGGCATCACAGGAGAATCATTGTCCCCAAGGACTTCAAAACCCATCTTCTGCAGTTCTGATCGGAAAAAATTGCTATTTTCACGAATGCGTGCCAGTTTTTGAGCCCCTACAATAATAAAGTAGCTCTAAAGATCAGTACACAATTTTTATTACCCCGGTATTCAGATGCCATTAGAATGATAACAAAGTGTAAAATAGGAGTGAATTTTGATAGTCAAAGTTTCTGACCTCTACTAGAACCATCTTCACCAAGTATAACCTTGATAGCAGAAATGATTTGTTGGGCAGCTGGAGGTGATATTGATGTGGCATACAGATGAGCTGGGCAAGTGTACTTCAAAAATTCAATAAGTTCCTGAAATTGGTGGTAAATGTCAAAATCAACGATTACAAAATAACATCACATTAACCTAAAGAAGGGCTCTTCAAGCACCAGCTAATAAGTTGGAAAAGAAAAATAGTTGAAAGAAAATCAGCCAAGTAATGCACTAGCAGTGTAAGGGAATGCTATGTTGCAAAAGAATAGGCGAAAGGCTCAAAAACAAAGCTAGAGACATATCTGTCTCAATGGAATGTTTAGCATCACATTAGGTTGCTAAGTTTGACACAGTTTTAATTTCATTTTTTTTCTGATAAGGTAAAGATAAACACTCGTTAAAAATTAGGTTTTCTGGAGAAGATAGGAAAACAGAATAAAAAGGAATGACCAATGAAGATAATCTGTAACAGATCTAGACCTCCAAGTAACATGTAGAGGGAATTCCATACCAGTTAAAGATTGAGGGAATCTAAACAGAAAACAAGAGTTGTTTTCATTTTGTTTTCTGTTCTTTCATGGGGATACAGAACAAAAGACAGTTGTTTATTCAATCTTATATTAAAAAATCTGAAAGATAATTATCTTATTGTTGCCTCATTGAGTCTTCACTAACATGAAGTCTGTCAGCATTAGTGTCAACAATTTACAGATAGGACAAATGATGCAAGTGTCTGACACTGTAAAAGCAGTAGCATGAATATCTTTGGTTTCATGATTCCACCCTATTTGTCATATTTCCATACACTTCAACTAAATATTAGAAACAAAGAATTTATCTATAGACAATGAAAAAGCAAGTCAGCTAGCACCATTATATGATTGGCATTAAGGAAACATACTTTGGATCCAGCAATATAACCCCCACAAGAACCAAATGACTTTGTGAAAGTTCCCATCATAATGTCCACATCAGCCGTGTCAACTCCCAGGAGCTCACAGACCCCCCTTCCTGTTTTTCCAACAGCTCCAATGCTGTGAGCCTCATCCAAATAAACATATGCCTGCAATGAGAAAAATACATCACAAACAAAGTCATGAGAAAATTAAACCAAATGGAGTCTCCTAAGGCCTACAAAAGAAAATTAGTCCCTCAAATAAAAGAGAGCTTCGTATAAAATTGAGACAATTATTGTCATGCCAATGAAGAAGTACAAGCCTAGCTCTTCGAGCAATTATCAATGACTAAAAACATAGTAATTCTGAGCACTACCTTGTATTTCTTGCATATGGCAACAATCTCCGGAAGCTGGCATAGCTCCCCTTCCATGCTGTATATGCCCTCCACTATAACAATTATCTTCTTCCACGGCCTGTGTGTTCTGGGTTGTCCCTCAGCAATATGTTCTCTTAAAACCTTCTCCAAGTGAGAAGGTGCTAAAGAATTGAGGGCAAAGCAAAGCATTAATATGAAATACGATGAACTCACAGTATAAAAATGGTATGGTTGAAAGGATAAAGCCCAAGTTGCAGAAACTTACTGTTATGTTGAAAAACACGAATAGTAGCTCCAGACCCTCGAGCACCATTTACAATAGAGTTGTGGTTGAGAGAGTCGCTGATAATCAAACCTCCCTGTATGACCAAATTAAAAGATTAAATGACCAAATTAAAAGATAAATATAATCACAAATAAAACACAAGAATTAACTTTTAGAAACTATTCGTACCTTCCCAATCAAAACAGGAAGTATGGCTGAATTTGTTACATAACCCATGCCTGTAACGATGGCAGCTGGCTTGCCAACAAAATTAGCCACACATTCTTCCAATTCCGTATGGATGCTTGTGGTACCTGAGAAGACAAATTTAGAAGCAGAGTTCCCTACTCAGGGAGACACAGCAGCAACTTACACGAAATCATGCCTACCTCCATCTACTCGGGAACTGCAAGTGCTTGCAGAAAACTTTTTCAAAGACTCAATGACGCGAGGTGTACAATATTCATCAGATGCAGCAAAACCAAGGTAATTGTATGAACCCAAGTTTAGGCACCTTGAAACTTTGGTGGTCCGCCTGCACAATGTGCAAGTGCATGATTGTAAGAGTAAATATAGAAACATCAACTGCTCCTAAACTGTTAGGACTAATTTGGATATCATATATAAACAACAGATAAGGAGCCCTATAGCACCAGTCACCAGAGAAGTCAAAGCAACTTTACCTCTATAGTTCTCTAATAGTAGTATAAAAGAATAATGGGAGAAATTGCAATACCGAGTAGAACAATTTACAGAATGTTTAAATAAAATTAATTAAACTGAATGATCCATGCTCACTTTAGTGTCTTGTTATTGTCATTGGACACACGCTCCACCACATCGAACCAAGCATCAGGAGGACTACATATTGGCCGTCCAAAACAATCCTACAAGTAATGATAATATAAAGCATAGAAACCAAAAGTCAATGCTTGCACAGCAATGAATAACCAATAGCTAAACTTTTGGTCCAAGAATTTGTTTTTCTCTTGGATGCATTGATAAGATCCAGGAATTAACGATTCAGAAGAGATGAAAGAATACGAGATCTAAGGCATTGGCAATTCAAAAAGGTACACAACCAATAAAACTACACTGATAATAGAGTTTTCAACCTCTTTTACTTTATGAAGTCCTGTATTACTTATAAATCCATTCTCTATTTCACATATGGAAACTACACCTAAATATTCTAGCCGGGCAATTTGTGGTGACTATTTGAGTTCCGGATAAGAACCCTTCCAACCCATTGGTTATTCATTCACCCCATTAACTTACTTGAAATTGAAGAGTTCAATCTGACCTAAACCATTATGTTTCCCTTGAAAACATTTCCACTTCTCAAATCCCTCTTGCAATTACCAAGTTTGCAGAAATCGATGCAATTTCACAGCTAAAGTTTGCCGCCAATACATGATAATTACAGCAAATAAGTCGCTTTCTAAATCATGCCCAATAGCCATATATAAATACTAGCCATCAGCGGGGCATGTTGGGTCTCCCAATTAATTCCCCTAAGCATAATGCATACAAATTATGCATGAAAGTGTCGAAAACATTTTGGAATCAGGAGCAGTTACCTGAATGCGAAGATACAATCGGCGGATGTAGAAATCTTCAAGTCCTAAGCAGATCGGAGCATATCCCTAACATTTCAACGCTTCAAAATTCAAGCTCATTCCCATAATCAAAAATTGACGATACACAAGCGCGTAAATTACCTGAAGATTGCTGGCCTTCCACCAATCAAAGATTTTTCTGAAGAAATCACGGAATTGGCCAAAGGCGAAGAGCAGGCCATAGCTGAAGTAAGTTGTCAAGGCGGTCAGATATGGAATGGTGATCATATTTGGATCGGATCTGAAGAAGCAGAATCGGAGATCTCTGATGAGAGAGAAAAAAGAAGAGAGAGAAAGAGAGAGTGGAGAAAGGACAAGGGGGCAGAGGAGGCGGGAGCTGGAAGAAGGAACAAGGGAGAGGATTGGGTTTGAGTTTGACCAAATCCAATCCCCTCTTTTTTCCTGTTGAAATTACTTTGCTCTCTGATTTTTTTCAAAACAAAAGGAAATCTTGACTCTTGCTTTCTATATTGACGAATTTGGAAGTGGTGTGTTTTGCTATGATGATTGTACCTTCCTCTTTATTGGTGTAGCGACGGAAAGGGAAACGAAAATTGAAAAAAGGAAATTTCAAAGCCCACCAATTCTGAATGTTTGTTTTCAAGTTTGGAAGAATGAATAGAACAATGACATCTGTTTTCTCGTGGTACTGTTACCAAGTTGACAGCCCATTTGCTCTCTCTTTTCCTTTGTCCCCTTCTATCATTTCATGTTTTATTGTTTCTCTTTTACTTCCGATATTTTTTGGATAAAATATAAATTTAGTCATTCCATCACAATTAATTATATTTACTAACGAAAAAGTATATATTATATGTTTATAACACATATATATAGTATATATTTTATCTGTTATTATTTTTATATATCTCATATTTTTTTCCATTTGAAAATACTATAACATTCACTTTTTTGTCACGAGAAAAGTAGGCTTTTCGTGCTCAAATTTTTATTTTCTTAGATTTCGATTCTCTTAGGGGTTGTTTGGTATAGGCAATTAATTATCATATAAGAATTTTTATTACAACAACAACAAATCCAGTATTTTCCCACAAGTGGGGTTTGGGAAGGGTGAGATGTACGCAGCTTTACCCCTATCCTAGAAGATAAAGAGCTTGTTTCCGTTAGACCCTCGGCCAGAGAAATATAAGAATTTTTATTTAGTTAATATATTATTTAGTTGTGATTTCAAATGTATGATAAATAATTCATGCATTATTTTATATACCAATTGGTGTATTATTGTATCCTGCCATTAACATGAATTAATTAACCAATGTATAAGCTATATATGGATAAAAGGCCAAAATGACAAAATTAGCTTCTTCTTTTTCCTAGAAGCATATGAAGACCAAATATCATAAGGTCTAATTATAAATTTATTAGTTTTTAGTTTAAAGTCTAAACAAATATTTAGATATTCATTGTATACCTAAGTTTAGTGTAATGAATAAAAGCTAATAGATACGTCAAAGACCGTTGCCAGCTAGCTGCCATAATAAGAAGCATGCGAAGCAGCTAGAAGTACTTCTGTTTGCAGCCAATACAACCACAACCTAACATCCAATAAAAATAATTCATGTACTATTAATCCTTATATTATTATAACAACAACAACATACTCAATATTATCTCACACCGTGAGGGCTGGGGAGGATAGTGTGTACGCAAACCTTACCCCTACCTTGTGAGGATAGAGAGATTGTATCCAATAGACCCTCGACTCAGGAAAGTATAAGCACCACATTAGTGAAAATATAGACACGAAGGGACAATACCAAAAGCCATATAAAAGCAGAATAAAAACAACAAGATAGTAAGGTGATCAACAATGAAAGAAAATAACAGTTACTCATAAAAACCTTACTACCAACAGAAAGCGAGATTGCATGCCAATACTACGGTTATAAACACTCTGGACTACCTACTTTACTATCATAATCCTCGACCTTCATACCTTCCTATCAAGGGTCATGTCCTCAGTCAGTTGAAGTTGCGCCATGTCTTGCCTAATCACCTCTCACAGCCTCTTCTTTGGCCTACCTCTACCTCTCCGTAGGCCCTCCAATGTCAACCTCTTACACCTCCTCACCGGAGCGTCTGTGCTCCTCCTCCTCACATGACCAAACCACTTAAGTCATGCTTCCCGCATCTTGTCCTCAATAGGGACCACACCCACATTGTCGTGAATAACCTCATTTATGATCATATCTAACTTGGTGTGCCCGCACATCCATCTCAACATGCTCATCTCTGCTACCTTCACCTTCTAGACATGAGCGATCTTGACTGGCCAACACTCAGCCCGTACAACATTGTTGGCCTGACCACCACTTTGTAGAACTTACCTTTAAGTTTCGATGGCACCTTCTTGTCACACAAAAATACTGGAAGCGAGTCTTTATTTCATCTATCCCGCCTCAATACGATGTGTGACATCTTCATCAATCTTTACATTTTGATCGAGTAACTTATTAATGTTGGCTAGTGCAAAGATAGATTGGATAGAAAAGTATATGTAGAATTTTGTTTCATATGTAACGATAAATTTATATAAGGTAATAAAATTAAATGATATGTGTATTTAAACCCTTATAATGTGCATACACATAACTCCTAATACATTTTAATTTGACACTTCTCGGAGGACATATGTCATGTATACCCAACTTGTTATAAATGTAATTTACTCGATAACTCCTGAGAGCTCCGGTGAAGGTAGCTACGGGTTAAGTAACAGGTTTCGGAAATTCAGTAATTTTTCGTTAGACCTTATATATGTATAAAAAAAGTTATTAAATATCCATAAATATTAGATTGTAAACCAAGTTATTAACTTAAAATCAATGTAGAAATTCGTAAATTTCAAATCATAAAATCCACCTCTGAATGAAGATATTGAGAACTAATTATTCGAACTAACAAACCCAATCATAATATCCTGAGTTCGCAACCTCTCTCGAATTAAGTGATAATTTATCTTAATGTGTTAGTTATAGCTATTAATCGGGCCGGGCTGACCCGTTTACGGCACGGTTCAGCCCGGATCAGCCCGGTACTGTAGCGTGGGGGCGGGCTGGGACGGGCTGGGCGGGGAGCGAATTTCAAACGAACAGTTTTTTAATACCGGTGCACCGGAACCCACTAAGCCCGTTAACCGGTTAACGGGTTGTTAACGGGATACAGTCCGGTTCAGCCCGATTTTTAATATTTTTTTTTTTTACCGTTGCCAACGGCCAAATTCAAATATGACTGTTGGCCAACTGCCTTTTTTTGCAGAAATGGCCATTTCGGCCTACCCTCTTAAGAAAATAGCCCCCACACCCCTAGTATTTGATAAATTACAATTTTAACCTTTTAAAAACTATAAATAGCCCCACTTCTTCTTTATTTTTCCTCACAATTCACTATATTACTACTCTAAGTCTCTCTTGATATTATTGATTATTGTTCTTAAATTCTCAATTACTTGTTATTTCAAGTTTCATCAAATAATTATTTTAGCCATTACAAAATTATTATTATCAAATATCAAGTATTCAAGTGAAGTGTGGTATCAAGTATCAACTATCAAGTATCGATCTATCAATTGATGTTTGGTTTTTGATATCAAATTTAGTGCGGCATCCGGAATCCCGGTACACTCGTTCTATATCTTTCTCTTCTTTGGTGTATATTTATTTTATTATTTATAATTATTAATTTAATTTACATAATGAATATATTTAGAGCAGCCAAAAAAGCGTGCACTAGTAGAGGTGGTAGTAAGAAAACTTCCAAAAGATCAAGAGGTAGTGCTTGTTCTTCTAGTAGTTTTACACATATTTCTGAAAGTTCACGTGAAAATTTAAATATAGATTATGAGGGACTTCAAAAAAATTATGGCATAGATGATGATTTAGATGATAATTTAGATGATATTCCATTTCCATCACCTGATAAACTTGAAACACCACCAGCTACACCTGGTAATGCTAGTCAAACTCAAAATACTAGGGATGAAAGTCGTGGTAATACAAGTAGGCATCCCCTCCCTATTAAGAAGAATCGAAGATTAAGAAGTAAGTGTTGGAATTTTTTTGACAGACTAGAAGAAGATAAAAATTATGTAAGATGTAGAATTTGTAAGGATATTTATAAACATGAGATCGGTAAGGTAGGGGGAACGGGTCAACTTCGTAGGCACATGGTAGACAACCACCCTCTTGATTGGGGAGTAGATGAGGAAGATGGGCAACAAAAACTTAACCCGGGTACTGGAGGGTTAATGGGTAAATACGATATTAAGAAAGATCGGGAAGAATTAGCTAAAATGATTGTTTTAGGTTGTTTACCTTTTAGTTTTGCTGCTTCACCATATCTTGTTACTTATATTCAAAAAATTTATAACCCTTTGTTTAAAGGTATTACTAGAAGTACTTGTAGAGTTGATATCTTTAGGCTTTTCGGTCAATATCAGACATATATACGTTATTTGTTCGCAGTCTTTCTTGTAGAATTTCTCTTACTTTTGATATTAGTCGTGCTGTAAATGGTAATAATTATTTGACTGTTACATGCCATTGGATAGATGGTAATTTTTGTATGCAAAAACGTATTATTGCTTTTAAATATGATGAAGATCAAAGTCATACTGGTGCATTTATAAGTAATACTATCCATGAAGTTGCTATATTTTATAATCTTGCAGAAAAATTTTGTGTGTGTCATTTGATAATGCTTCTAACAACAATGCTGCTATTACAATATTAAAATTGCATCTACACCCACCACTTCCTGAAATATTTCATGTTAGATGTGCATGTCATATTTATAATTTGAATGTGAAGAGTGGCATTGAATTATTTAGAGATGATATCACTTTAGTTAGAAGAGCTGTTGGTGTAATTCAAGGAAATAATAGAAGTGCTAGATTAAATGCATTTAAAGAAAAATGTCTACACTATGGACTAAAACCAAGACTCATGCCTGAAGAAATAGTTACTAGGTGGAATTATACTTATTTATTCTTAAAATGTTGTTATAAATATAGAATGCCTATAACTAAAGTTGTTAATTCTCATTGTACCGATCCTACCCATTTGTTAACATCTAGAACTTGAGATGTCATTGAAGATGTTGTAAATTTTTACAAAAAATTTATGTGGCTACACTTGAGTTTTCTGGAGCTTATTATCATACTATTGCAAATGGTTTAGTTCATATTGTTGAAATTTCTCTTTTACTACATAATTTGAAGAAGAAAGAAGGATATACTTTTGTTGTTGAATCTATGCTAGATAAGTTTAAAAAATATTTTTATCCAATTCCCCCAATTTACCTAATTGGTGCTATTTTAATCCCTTCTATCAAAATGGTCACTTGTCGCCAATTAATCACTGCTTTATATTCTTATATGGATATTGGACCAACTAAAACTCCTGATATTGACACTTGTATTTCTGATCTACACAAACATTTAGAAACATTATATAATTATTATGCTAACATTGTTGATGCTTCTTCTGTTGTAGATGCAAATATTCCTTCAAGTTCAGTTTCAACATCTGGGACCAGTGCTTTGGATGATAAAGATGGTGTTGA